ACACAGAGGTTGTTTTCTTCTCACCCTTTCTTTTATGGGGTCCTGTGGACCCTGAGGTCCCTGCCCAGCCTGTGGTCTTTGGCTGAGCAATGTGAGTGTAACCAGAACTGGGAGGTGTCTATCCTGGCTGCTCCTGGGGGAGAGAACGGGCCTTCCTAGCCCCTTCCGAGACCTTGCTGGGACCTCCGCATCCACCCTGCCTTCCCTCCCTGCTGTGCACGCCACTCCAGCAGTGCAGTTTGGATGCTGTGCTGAATTGTAATCCTCACTGTTGGGGGTAGGGCCTGGCGGGAGGTGTTGGATCTCGGGGGCAGATTTCTCATGAGTGGTTCAGCGCCATCCCCCTGGCCATCCTTGTGATGCTGCGTGCTTGGGAGATCTGGTTGCTTCAAAGTGCGTGGCACCTCTCCATTCGCTCTCTTGCTCCTCTCTGGCCATGGGATGTGCCTGCTCTCGCTTTGCCTTCTGCTATGTGTAAAAGCTCCCTGAGGCCTCCCGAGAAGCTGAGCAGACGCCCGGCGCCATGCTTGTGCAGCCTGCAGAACCGGGACCAGTTACACCCCCTTTCATTATAAATTACCCAGCCTTAGGCATTTCTTTACAGCAATGCAAGAATGGCCCGATACACCCAGCGACACTCCTGGGTCCTTCACAGCTATTTTGTCAGCTGATGAGGAGGCTCGTAGGTCCAGCCACTTCTGTTGTTGCTTGTTTTATCTCCATGGGGTGGGGAGGGGATCCTGTCAGGGAGTTGGTGGCTCCTACTTGTTTTCCATTTTGTGTGGACATCACACAGCAATTTGAACAAAGCACGAGTCTCACCACGGCCTCTTGTGTTCCGAGATGTACTTGGGTCCTTATGCAGTGTGCGTGTGAACATGGGACAGCCAGAAGGCATCTGGACTCCTCTTCTGGGCCTTGTTTATTTTGTGGTGCTGAGGGGAGGGCAGGACAAGAAGGGAGATGCTGTCTTTGACATGCAGAGCAGGTCATGAGGATGGTTCATCCCACACTGCAGCACAGAACCAGGGCAGGGGAGGCCCTTTCATCTGTTGCTCCTGACTCCATGGTTCTGTCCTAACAGCAGCAGGATGGGGATTGCTGAGGATTCAAGAAAAATCTGCATTCAAAGCTCCAGGAAGGATCTGGGTGGATGTGGGGCCCAGCCAGGGGCTGTGTGTTGAGAAATGAGGGCCGTTGGGGGCTATCTGGTGGGGCAAGCTTTGAGTGGTGAGCTTTTTGTGGTGAGCTTTGCATGGCGAGCTTTGCATGGTGAGCTTTGCATGGTGAGTTTTGCATGGCGAGCTTTGCATGGTGACCTTTGCATGGTGAGCTTTGCAATAAATGCATGATTGCACTGGAAGTATGCAGTGGCCCCAGGACCAGTGTCTCTGGGGACTGGGGAAAGCTGCTTGGAAGAGAAGATAACTTGGAGAAGGAGGAGGAGATTCCATTAGGCCTAATGCGGTGTGTGGCGGGGAGGTGCTCGTGGCATTTGTCCTTCATTGCCAGCCCTTGTCTTTGGCATCGGCCATCAAGAGAGTTGGGGACAGGAAAGACCTTGGGCGGGCGGGTTGTGAGTGAGGGGCCCAGAGCTCCCCATGAAGCTGTGCAGTACATGCAAAATCCACAGTCGGCTCCAGGGCTGGGCTTTTGCACCTGGACCTGGAGGGTTGAGGTTGCAGCGTCCTGAGCCCAGGTCCAGCTCCTTGCAGGAGAAGCACTGAGCTCATTTGAAACCTCCCCAGGAAGCACGTAGTGCAGCCCTGCTGGAGTCCCGAGTTGGGATAAGGCTTGTGGAAAGCTGCTGCAACTCCCCACAAAGCCTGGCAATATTCTGACAGCTCTCCTGCTCCCCAGGGGCTGGAACGCACCACTTCCAGTGAGGGTGGAGACTAGAAATAATATCGGCATTGGTTGATGGCATATTGGCCTGCATGAGTGGCTCATTCCTGCTGCATTGTCCTCAGTGAGCAAGGCACCAGAGGGATCATCTTCAGATGCCCCAAACCAGAGAGATGGAAAACATCGACCCAGGGCAAAGTGTGGTGTGGGTTTCTCCCTTCCCCTGGGAGCTGGTTGTGGGTCACACGATGTGTGCACAGAAAACACTCTGGTTTTCTGGGCTGGTTCCTGCCGAGTTATTTGGAGGCTGTTCAATACCTTCACAGTGAGCTTTGGTTCTCTGCCCACAAAGGCCCCAGAGCTCGCCAAGCTGCAGGACTGTCTGCTATCACTGGAAGGACAAGACAGTCACTGAACACCCAACCCTTGGGTGGAAACACTACCTCACAGGCTGCGGGTGCAGTGCAGGGGAAGGCAGGAGGTCACATCCCAAGCATGGTGTTTAGAATGACAACTCGCTGCCAGGGGGCTGCACTGAGGTTGGCAAGCTTGGCTGTGGCACTCACTGGCTTGGAATGTCAACCTCCCAAGGGAGGCTCTGCCTCCCAACACAAACGGGGGGTTAGCAGTGTGGGGAGACGAGGAGAGACCTGTGGAAGTGACCACATGGCTGAGCCGGCCTGGTGTGTCTTGGGTTCAGGGTTTACTCCTGGGGGCATCTGACATTTGCACTGTCACTCCACCTGCGGGTGCCTTTGGCAGCTAAAAACCACTACCTGAAAGGCCTTCTCATTTTCGGGTCTGATGGTTTGCAGAGGGCAATTTATATCTCTACGAAGCAATAGTGACTCATGAAAATGCATTCACTGTCAACAGGTCCACGCCCAGTGCCTCACTGTCCTGGGTTAAGTGCAAACTCCGGGATGCAGGTGGCAGGGTGGTCTGTGATGGGCCACGTTGTGGTGGAGGAACGTTTGCCTTGCTCTGGGAACTTACTGAATCTGCAATGACCCGTCATGATCCCTCAGAGAAGAAATCATTATTCCCCTGAGAGTTGTGTTCTAAGATCTTTGTGAATGACTTTTTGGTGAATTGTAGCTGAATATACAGAGCATCTGCCATGACATTTTCCTGGGTGTGGGGTAAACTTGTTCCAGCGGCCTCTGGCAGACTCGTCTGTTCCTTCTCGTGCCTGTCATAGTTACGTCCACAGTGGTTTATGCAAGTCTCTTACTGACTCTTAATGTTCTTCTCAGAGATTAGCTAGGTCAATATGGCCATCTTCAAGAGAACACTCTTTGATTTACACCGGGCCCTTCTCTAGAAATCTCAAGTAGCACAGGGTGGTTTCCGTAACCAGTTCAAGCCCCATCGCAGTGCCTGGTCTGGGTGTTACTGGCAGAAGAAGGTACTTCGGCTGGCCAGGTGTTCCTCTTTCAAGGAACATACTGAAATTCAGGGCACATTCTGAATCATTTTGGGAGAGGGAAAGAAAAAACCTACTTAAATGAGGAGAGTCCTGCTACTGCTGTAAAGACTTCAGAGAAGTTAGTTTTTTGCCTGCCCTGTGCCTCAGTTTCCTCACTATAAAGGGGTGGCCAGTACCTGTACCATGAGGGCATGTGAGAATTGGACAAAAGGATAGATAAGAAATAATATAATCTAGTAGAAATGTTGTAAGAGGTTATTCTTCTCACGATCTTATCTCCTCTGACAGCACAATTTTTTTTTTTCTGGAAAACGTTTTCTTGGCCAAGTGCAGTGGTTCGCTTCTGTGATCCCAGCACTTTGGGAGGCTGAGGTGGGTGGATCATTGGAGGTAAGGAGTTGGAGACCAGCCTGGCCAACATGGTGAAACCCCGCCTTGACTCAAAATACAAACATTAGCCATGGTGGTGGGTGCCTATAATCCTCGCTGTTCAGGAGGCTGAGGCAGGAGAATTGCTTGAACCTGGGAGGCGGAGGTGGCAGTGAGCTGAGGTTGCGTCATTGCACTCCAGCTTGGGTGACAGAGCAAGACTCCGTCTCAAAACAAAAAAACAAAAACCATTTTCTTATGTTGAACCGGAGGCAGTTTCCTTATGTCTTATATCCAGTAGACCCAGTTGTTAGCTTTGGAGCAAATAAGTGACTTGTAACTCCTATTGCAAGCGACATTCTCATGGATCCATAAGAGCTTCGCTGTGCATCCACATCACCTCTGTTCCATACTGACGCGTCACCCCTCCCCTACCCCAATGCCTGGCATCATCTGGACTCTCCAGAAGTGAGGAGAGTTTTCCAATCAGATAGAGTATACGCAGCTGTGTTCCTAGAGGCCTTTACTGTGTATTTTCCCTGCCTGTTAAGCTGTAAGATTCTGAATGGCAGAGCTCTTTTCTGTCATCTGTCTTTTCTCTTGGATTCCAGTGCCAGGTAAAGTTATTTTTATATATTGGATAAATAAAACATGTCATGGGCAATAATAATCATTCTCTCCAGCAGAGTGGTAAGTCGAAGCTAGTTTCTGAGAAAGGATTGTTGAATATTTGGAAATTTTGAGATCTGGTTGTTAAACGACTGAGAACTTCAAATTAGCCATGGTGGGAATATCTACACTTTGGAAATTGGCAGATGCTACAAATGAGGACTTTGTTTTTCCTCCCACAGAGCTGGTTTGCCAGCACAGCACAGCCTTAAGATGAGAAGGCCTCCTACCATTCATTCCTGGAGAAAAATGACGTTGACTCTCCCCTGCCCCTTGTTTAGAGAATAAAATCTAACTATGCTTTTTTTCTCTCAAGAAACATTTTTTTTTCTCAAGAAAGAATAAAAAGTAACCCTGGGCTAAAGATGGGCAACTGGAAAAAATGGTACTATTTCCAGGCACGTTACCATCCTCCTCCTCCTCCTTTTCTCAGGAGAGCTTTGGTTCGGCCAGATCTGACTGAGAAAAATTATAAGACTTTGCAACACTCCTCAGAATTTTAAACCATAAGTTTTACTGTCATCATTTTTGACACTTATTTGCTTTAAAGAAATGGTGGAGCAAGAATGTGAAATTCAGTTAACACTCAGGTCTGTTTTTTTTTTTTTTTTTTTTTTTTTTAAATAACTTGCCATTTGGGAAGGCGATAAAGAGTGTTAATCTCAACTGCTTGGCCGAGCGTCTTAGCAAAGTTTTAACTCTGCCAGTTCCAAGATTAGGTGCAGTCGTTCTCAAGGCATAATTTATTTTTGAAATGTTCCTTGGGTTCTGAAACTTCAGCATGCCAATGCTAAACTATTCCTTGAGGGAGAACAACTCTCCCTTAAGAGTCTCCGAGGCCTAGTGTTGCTGAGCATGACTGATAGGCAAAACATCGACAGCCTTAATTTTTTCTTTTCAAAACATGTTTAACTTCAGTAAACCTTAAGCCAAGCCTCTTGCAGATGGCAGACAGCTTAATTGCTGTGGTAACCTTGTCTGACGTTTTTTGGAAAACTTTGGGTGTTATAATAATCCGTTGAACCCAGAGAAAATAGATTTCAACCCACACAAAGACATGCATATGGCTCAGAATCTCGACTCGGCTGCTGAGGTTTTGTCCAGGCGTGTTCCTTTTTTCCCTTCCTTGCCAGGCTTTCTGGTACAGCTTGCGAGTCCAGCATGTATTGTTTGGATAGCAAATCCAAAAGAGGCCCAGGATGAAATGAATCAGCGTTACTGTTTCTTCCCCGACCCATCTGTCTTCCCGGAAAGTCTGAGGTGTGGATGGTAAGAACGGTTGACTGTATTAATGTGTTACCTTCATTTTTGTGTGTGTCTATTTCTGGCCTATTTTGAAAAGCTTTATTGGTAATATAGTTGATACACAAAAATTGTATATAATGTGTACGTTTGGATGAGTTTGGACAGATGCATATGCCCAGGATATCATCACCCCGATCAAGGTGCTAAGCACAGCCATCACCTCCAAAAATCTCTCTGTGGTGTTGTGTGTGTGTGCTGAGAACATTTAACCTGAGGGCTGTCCCTTTAATATATTGTCAAGTGTGCGGTACAGTACTGTTAACTGTAGGTGCTATGTTGTACAGCAGGTCTCCAGAACGTATTCACCTTGTATAACTGAAACTTTTACCTGTTGATGTTGTCTATTTTTGCAATTGGGGTTTACGTCCTTTTCTTATTTGTTTGCAAGATATCTTTACATTTTCTGAATATGTCCTTTTTTGGGTAGACTAATTTCAAAATCTTCCAGTTTGTGGCTTGCCTTTTCTTTCTCTTAATAGTTTTTTTTTTTGATGTATCTGTTGTATATCTCAAGTTAAGTCTTCTTTGATTTTTCTCAGCAATGTTTGAGTTGATTTAGGAGGTTTTGCACATCTTTTATTAGATTTCTTCCTATGCATTTGATAGTTTACTTATTTTTAAATTTCACAGATGCTTTGTGCCTCTAGGTTAACGTACATGTCTATCCTTGGGGTGGCACCAGATGTGTATTGCAATCATACGTTAGTGGTGTATCACAATAATGCACTGGCTGTGTATCGCAATAGTGCACCGGCTGTGCATTGCAATAGTGCACCGGCTGTGATTCACAATAGTGCACTGGCTGTGTATTGCAACAATGCACTGGCTGTGTATCGCAACAGTGCACCGGCTGTGTATCGCAATAGTGCACTGGCTGTGTATCGCAATAGTGAACCGGCTGTGTATCGCAACAGTGCACCAGCTGTGTATCGCAATAGTGCACCGGCTGTGTATCGCAATAGTGCACCGGCTGTGTAACGCAATTGCAATTGCCATCTTCCATGATCATGATCCATATGCCAGGCACCCACAGGCGCGTTTTCTTGGGCAATGCATTTTGTCTTTTTTCTTTTCTTTTTTTTTTTTGAGACGAGGTTTCGCTCTTGTTACCCAGGCTGGAGCACAATGGTGCGATCTCGGCTCACCGCAACCTCCGCCTCCTGGGTTCAAGCAATTCTCCTTCCTCAGCCTCCCGAGTAGCTGGGATTACAGGCACTCTCCACGATGTCCAGCTATTTTTTGTGTGTTTTTAGTAGAGATGGAGTTTCACCATGTTGAATAGGATGGTCTCGATCTCTTGACCTTGCGATCCACCTGCCTCGGCCTCCCAAAGTGCTGGGATTACAGGTGTGAGCCACCGCGCCCAGCCTGGGCAGTGCATTTTTTCTTTCATATCTCTGTCTAGTATATAGGACATTTTCTGAATGGATGATTTCTGGCTCAACACAGAATTTGTAGTTTTGGGGATATGAATAAAAATTTAGTATGAAAGCTGCAATTGATTCTTGCAACTAAGATGGCTGCCATCTTAACGGCGTAGTTAAAAGCAGAACTCATTGGAGTGTATCCTTGTTTATGTTGGTGACCATGGGCTATGAAGTTGGATGACTTTTTCCTCAGCTGTGTTTATAAACACTAGCAAACACACTGTGGCATGGAGAGTAGCCAGCTTAAGCATGTTTGTACTTCAAGTGGATTTATTTTCACAGTTCCCCACACATGTGATACTACCTCCTCAAGAGTTCTCAGTTTAGACCAGAGCTTCTCAACTCCGAGTGGACAGCAGCCACTAGAGAGCTCATGAGAATACACAGTCCTGGGCCCTTACCCAGAGATGGACTAATCAGTATTCAAGGGGTCAGTTAATCTGCTTTTAAAACATGGATCCCAAATGGTCATGAGGGAGGTAGCATGGGGACTGCACACTGTGAACTCCTGGCATGATTATGGAAGCTCGGTTTTATCTCATATTAGCTGTGTGAACTTGGGCACATCAATCTACTTCACCAAGCTAGTTTCTAAATTTTAAAGAGGTGACAACAGTGTATGAGTTGGGTTGCCTTCAGCTGCAACTAGCAAAAGACCTAATTTCATCTGGTTTCAACAATAATGGGATTTTACTGGTCTTGGCAATTTAGGAGTCCTGACTTTAGAAGACTAGTAGATGTAAAAAAGGATGAGTTCAGGCCGGGCGCGGTGGCTCAAGTCTGTAATCCCAGCACTTTGGGAGGCCGAGGCGGGCAGATCACGAGGTCAAGAGATTGAAGCCATCTGGGCCAACGTGGTGAAACCCCGTCTCTACTAAAAATACAAAAATTAGCTGGGCATGGTGGTGCATGCCTGTAGTCCCAGCTACTCGGGAGGCTGAGGCAGGAGAATTGCTTGAACCCAGGAGGTGGAGGTTGCAATGAGCCGAGATCGCGCCACTGCAATCCAGCCTGGTACCTGGCAACAGAGCAAGACTCTGTCTCAAAAAAAAAAAAAAAAAAAAAAAAAGGATGAGTTCGTGTCCTTTGCAGGGACAGGGATGAATCTGGAAGCCATCATTCTCAGCAAACTGACACAAGAACAGAAAATCAAACACCGCATGTTCTCACTCATAGGCGGGTGTTGAACAATGAGAACGCATGGACACAGGGAGGGGAGCATCACACACTGTGGTCTGTTGGGGGGACTAGGGGAGGGACAGAGGGGGGTAGGGAGGTTGGGGAGGGATAACATGGGGAGAAATGCTAGATATAGGTGATAGGGGGATGGAGACAGCAAACCACATTGCCATGTATGTACCTATGCAACAATCCTGCGTGATTTGCACATGTACCCCAGAACCTAAAGCACAATTAATATACATATATATATAAAAGAAGAATAGCAGATGTATTAATCAGCATGTGAGCACCAGAAGCATGGAGGCCTAACACCACGATGTATACCTGCTGCTCACTGACAATCCGGTGCAGCCAGCTGGGGCCCTCCTCCATTCCTGATGCAGAGATCCACGTTCCTGCCCTCTTGTTTCCCCCATCTTGGCACTGGGCTACTAAGAGCATTGTGGAATGGGGAGAGAGGGAAGCACGCTGGCTCTTACCTACCTTAGCCAAGAAGTGACACCTGCCACTGTCATTTACAATTTAGTGGCCAGACCTAGTCATGTGGCTCCAATCTAACTGCAAGGACATCTGCCTCCAGAACTGAGACAAGAACCCACCCAGTCTAGGGTACTTTGGTATGGCAGCCCTAGTGGCTTATGGCACGCAGCAAGCACATAGACTATTTGATGAGCCCTAACTGCTTCTGCCAAGGTGAGCTTGAGGTATTGTACCAGGCTCTGTTTCTCTGTGCTTCTTTTGCCTCTGCCCTGCCTATGTCATGAATGGGCTTTGTCCTCAGGTTGGCTTCCCTCCTGGTTGAAAGAGGCTGTCCGAGGGCATTCAGGCTTCTCATCTTCCTATTACTACTCGGGGAGAGAGGTGGTGTTTCCTCCTCTGTCCAAACAGAGCTCTTGAGACTGACTTAGGACACACACTGTCTACCCTGGATGCAGTCGGGGTCCATCTTTGGTACTAAGGGTAGCACCAAGGACGTTGTAGTTAGAATGCAATGCTTGGAAAGGAACGGAATGGATGTGGAGAGGCCATGATGATACCCACATCACACACCTGCATCCTCTAAAAAGTCAGATCCTGCCAAAGCGCTTGGCCAGTGGCTGGAAATTCATAAGGTGTCAATAAATATCAGTTGTGATGATGATTATTTAAGGGAAAATGTTGTTAGATATTGGGGCACAAGACAATATTGTCCTAAAGCCTGAATTGGCGAAGGTGATGCCAGCTGCTAGAACACGTAGGTCCCACATTTGGGATCTTTCATTCTGAGAGGCAGGACTGAGAGAGCGGCTCAGGGACCCAGGGGCCCATGTCATTGATCCTGTGGTCCACGGTGGTGCCCCGGGCTCCCTTGTTTCCTGCAAGGTGGTGGAGGAAGGGAAGAGGGAGGGCTTCCCTGATTTCACCCCATTCCATCAAGAGGAGCCTGTCTTCAACTGCCAGGGAGGCTGGGAGATGAAGTCCAGCCTGCGCCCAGGAAGTAGAGGGGCAGAGCTTGAGAACACAAGGGAGTAGAGAGGTCCTCTCCTGACTCTAGACCTGGAGCTTCCAAAGCACGCCCTTCACTCATTCAGCAAGGACTTAGTGAGTGAACAAGGAGAGGCCCACCCTTGGGGAGTTCCCGTTCTCAGCCCACACCTGGTTGGGGCACCCTGGGGCCGCCGGGGCCTTGTTGGGCAGACGCAGGTCTCCCCGCTGCCTTGTACACCCCATGGGAAAGAAAAATCGAGGGGGTGGCGGTGCCTGGTGTGCGCAGGGGTAGGAGGAGCCAAGGAAGGAGCCAGCTTGTGCCAAGAGGTAGACTGGACCTTTGAACAGACTTGGGCCCGATATGAGTGAGACAGCCCCCAAGAGCCCCCTGAAACCTCAGGTGGGGGAAGGCGCCAGTGGGATTGTGCCTCAGTGGGCCGGGTGGGCTATGAGAATGTGTGTGGCTGAAGCAGGCACCTGAGTAGGCACCAGTGAGTGGCCTCCCTTATCCCTCCTGCTGCTCGTCAAAGTGGTTTTGTGTATCCACACCCAAGGCCATTGGGCCACTAGATTGGGACTGACGGCGAGGACTCTGAATTACTTCCATATCCACAGGCTCTGAGAAAGACCTCTTCTTGTTTTTTTTTTTGAGACAGAGTTTCGCTCTTGTTACCCAGGCTGGAGTGCAATGGCGCGATCTCGGCTCACCGCAACCTCCGCCTCCTGGGTTCAGGCAATTCTCCTGCCTCACCCCCCTGAGTAGCTGGGATTACAGGCACGCGCCACCATGCCCAGCTAATTTTTTTGTATTTTTAGTAGAGACAGGGTTTCACCATGTTGACCAGGATGATCTTGATCTCTTGACCTCATGATCCCCCGCCTCGGCCT